GAGCACCTTGACCTAAAGCAGCAGTAAGAACCACCCAAGAGAGCAGGAGAGGAGCTGGAAGCCATCAATTGGCATAAAATAAAAGCACCGATGTCTCTGTTGTGTTGAAGTAAATTCTCATGTGAGGTTTTAAGATTTGATCAGTTCATTGGTTTGTTGATTTGAGGATTTCTGGCTTTTGTCAGAAAAAATTTAGATGAATGAGGTTATTATCTTCTCCACAGTAAATTAGAAATGGCAACCGTGGAAAACCCCAGATATACTCTAGAGCAGCCATGCAGAAACACAAGAGTGCCGCGGCCCACTTACAAACGCCCACAGAGCTCATCTTAAATCTTCACTCTAAACAAATTGTTAGAGAAAGTCATGTTTACGTAAAGATTTTCTCCAAAAACATAAAGCACACAGTCATGTGCAAAGTGTTAAGGACAGTGCAGTACATTTAGGTCAGAGTAACGAGTAATATCACAAACTAACCACTTGATTCACCTTTTATATAAATATATTTGTATAAATATGTAGATGACATGCATACTTGTACATACAAACTGAATTTCTGTTACTGTGGTCCAGCTGCAGTACCTTAGCGGCCCACAAGGAGTACCCAGCCCACACTTTAGGAACCACTCCTCTAAAGTATATCTAGCCTAATTTACTAGATGAACCCTCTCCAGCTGCCTGGATAGACTGCAGGAGGCAGCACAGGATAATCACTGTTAGCAATGCGACGTAATGAACTGCACTGCTTGCACATCAGCGTTGCATCAGACACACACCTCTGTCAGCACCTCTGAGCTGCCATGCATAAGAGAAAATATCTCATGGTGTTGCATCAGCAGGAGGAAGAAACTGTCCATATTTGCGCAAAACGTCCAACTTTTTTATTGCATAATTACTCCACCAGAGGGCGCTGTGAAGCTTATTTATTTTCACTGTTCAGTTCCAATGAGTGCATGTCATGTTTGAAGACAGAATAAACTCTGTAAGTGTGTCTGCATCTCTAATGGGACTGTTTTCTCTCCCTCCAGTCTCTCGGTTCCTGACCTCACTCCGAACATCGGCCTCTTCTGGTATTTCTTTGCCGAGATGTTTGAACATTTCCGCCTCTTCTTCCTCTGCGTCTTCCAGATTAATGTTTTCTTCTACACCATCCCTCTGTCCATCAAACTAAAGTAAGTCCAGCACCTCATTCTCACATTAAAGGTCCTTCCAAGTTGACAGTTTTTTTTTCCTGTTTAATAACCTAAACCTGAGTAAAACCACAACATGATGTATCATGTGTGTTCGTGTGTGTGCTGCAGGGAGCATCCCGTCTTCCTGATCTTCATGCAGTTAGCTGTGATCTCCATCTTTAAGTCGTACCCCACTGTGGGAGACGTTGCACTCTACCTGGCCTTCCTTCCTGTCTGGAGTCACCTGCACAGATGTGAGTGGGGGGGAAAAACCTGACAACATTTCCACTCAGAGTCTGTGTTCTTACAGATCCTGGTTAAAGTATCATCACATAAAAAAAATGTTTTGAATATTTACCTTAAATTTATGTTGTCTGGGGTCAGAAGCACTGCTGATCAGTGAGAGTAAAGAAACATAGAAACAAAGTCTCTGAAACACTGTAGAATAAATATGAAATAATAATACAGGATGAAATTAAAAAGATCTTTAACACTGATTGGTCAGAGATTTTTCATCAGCTCCAAACTGTCCTCAAATGAAAGTCCTGATTTTTCTCTTGTAGCATCTTAAAGCTTCATTAATTCATGTTTTTGATTTATCAGTAATTATATGTCTTTGTTCCTGTTCAGTCCTGAGGAACATCTTCCTGGTGTCCTGTGTCTTGCTGGCCTGTTCGGCTCTGTTCCCGGTTCTCTGGCACCTCTGGATCTACGCCGGCAGCGCCAACTCCAACTTCTACTACGCCATAACTCTGCTCTTCAACGTGGCGCAGGTAGGATGGTGTGCATGTGAGCCAGGGGGGGCAGAGTTAATGCTGTTTATTTATTTAGTTAAAGATAAATGCAATAACGCTGTTAAATGAAGTTTCATCCATTTTTAGATTTGGGTTTGGTTTTTTTTTTCAATATCACGTCTTCTTTCAAAGTGGCAGCAAAGGAAATCTTATTTAGAAGAGGCGGTCTGTAAGAAGAATCCCCCCGATAGTGCAGTCTCAGTGTCCTGATATAAATATATGTCCCCTTCAGATCCTGCTGGTGTCAGATTATTTCTACGCCTTCTTGAGGAGAGAGCACCACCTCACCAACGGGCTGTACCTGAAGAGGAAGGACGGCTCTGAGGCGACGCTGATTCTCAAATAAAACGCCCCCGTGTTTGCTCTGAAGGGAGGAATAAACTCGTCTTCTTTTTATCCTCAGAGGGAACAAACAAAAACTGAAGGAGGGTAAAAGACTTTCAGACCTCCTGTGGTCCTCAAACAGAACAAAACGGCACACGCAGAACGTGCGCACGGTACAGCGTCACATGCAAACAATAGCACTGCAACATACAACATGACAGACGTGTGGGATGTCGACACACGGCTTACTCTGAAGCCTCACCTCCACCTGTAACCTCCACCTGTGGTTACTTCCTGTAAGCCACTCTGGGAAAGTTTATTTTTTGATGCTTTGTTGTTCTTGCAGCTCCAGGTTTTATTTTAAAGCACCAGCTGTCGTGCTGAAGGAAAAACCTCTTTTATTTGATCATTCTCGCCCACATGCACGCGTTTGTGTTTTCCTAATTGCCTTTTTGTTAAAAGTGGCATCTGTCGTGGTCAGAGGAGAAAGAAAAAGCTGTTTTTAAGAGCTTAGAAACCTTTAGTTTCTCACCAGTTTAACAGTGTTTGCCTTTTACAGTCTGCTCTTCAGTTCTCGTTTACCTAAAGTCGTCTAAAGTAAAAACCAGTTCAACCTCATTGTGTTGCAGAACACTACCTGAGATTTTGATCAGAAACTGGAAAGTTTTTCTGCGTTTGTCAAACATCAGATAATAACAACTACCGAGCAGGAAACGAAGACTGCAGTGAATGTGTTGACAACTGAGTCGCTCGAGTTTGGCATGTTTGGAGAGCAGAAACAGATAATCATCATTAAGCTTCGGTGGAGGGTTGGAGACTGGTCCCAGGAAGAACACACATAACAATGGATCCAAATATTTATGATGGTTTTGGTTGTAGATTTAAATATCACAGAGGAGTGGAGTCTGAAATGTAAAGGGCTCTTCTTCTTCTTCTTCTTCTTCTTCTTCTTCTCCTTCTCCTTCTCCTTCTCCTTCTCCTTCTTCTTCTGGACCAAGTTAAAGCTGCAGTGAGCTCGTGTTTTCCACTTTCATATTTAACCCCACATAATTCACCAAATGAATCCCTGCTTTACTCGTATTTCTGCATGTCATCAAGGTTATTTACTTAGATCAAATTTGTAATTAACATTAAAAAATGAACTCTGATGTCTGTTTGGTGAATATTAAGGTACCAACAGGCAAAAAAGTGTCAAATGGTTAATTAGTTATATTTAAAAAGTAAATTAAAACCAGCTGTTTTGTTTTCCATCTTTATGTCCTTTATATTTACCATATTGACGTGTGAGTGGAATCAATCTGAACATCTTCGCAGATGAAAGGACGACTACATGCATGTTTTGCATGTTTATAAGACAGTGTCTCAAATCCGCTCTACACACTCGTTCTGTAACAGCATTTGTTACATACATACTATTAAAATCCCACAAAAACAGAATTACTATTTTATACTTACAGGAAATTACACAGCAAGTCAGATCCAATATATTTGTTTTGCAGCACATATCATAGAAGTGCCAAAACCTGCAGTTCCTCTAATGTCCACTAGAGTCTGGCTGTAATGAGTCAGTCCCCATAGGCTCCCATGTTAAAATGTCCAGCTTTACAGCACAAATAAAAATGCTTACAGACAAGTGCATCCATGGTTTTGGCTAACTAGTTTCCTCCTTCATAAGGTGTTTGTATTTTTAATGACTCGTCTGTTTAATTTTTATTTGGCTTAAAGTTTGATGCTGTTGCTGCTTTCACTCTCAGGCGGGTAGAGTTACAGGCGTCACCTCGGCTAACTGAGTCTGAACCGGACCTTTCGACTGTGTTTGTGCTGTTGGTGCCTTGTGGAGCAAGGAGCAAGTGTGCTTCAGCGTTGGTGAATGAAATACTAATATCTGCCTGTACTAAGCACTAATTAGCAGGTACGAGTGTCTGAGAAACTGCACTCGGTTTATGAATGAAGTTGTTTTTTTTTGTTCAAAGGTTTTCGTCAAACTGCAGCCAGATTCGACCACAGCGACACTTTGAACACTGATTCAGTCACTTTGCTGGTGTGACTTCACTACAAACTCAGACTCAGCTCAGAAACCGTGTATGATGGAATCGGGACATGAAATCAAAGTTTTGTTTTCTGTTCGTTGATGATTTCTCGTTGTAACATGAAATAATTTTATCGGCACCTGTGAACAACCATGTTTGCTTTCAGTAGATGTTGGGAAACATGCAGTTACATTAAAAATGAAAAACACATCCTGTGTTTGTGTCTGCAAACTGCACCCACTCACTGCCCAGTAACATGACAACAGTCTGTTTTGGGCAAATAGCAACTGTTTTAATGCAATGATTCATTTTTGGTGTATTTATTTGCTGCACTGAAACATTTGCTCAGATTTTGTTTCGTGAAAAAGGAGCTCTGTGTTGTTTTGATACTGCGCGTATGTACGAGTTTGATTAAAGTTCAGGGTTTACAAGGGCCGACGTTACGTTTGAACCGTGATTGTCATAAATGTTGATTAATAAACTCCGGGTGCTGGTTTAGACTCGTCTATTCTATTTCTCCATGCTGGTGTTTTCACACTGATTTGGTGCCAGATTACTAAATTTGAAAAACAAAAGGCATATGAATCCCCCTCCACCTGCACATGCAGGGGGCAGGTGGAGGTCCAAAACTCACGTTGGGCTAAAATAAATACTGACAGCTGATATTCAAAGTTTAGCCAATAAGCCAGTTAAGGAATCTACAATGAGACTTTGGGTTTCCACAAAGCAGAGAGAACACCTCAGGTGACTCCAGTGTAAGTTCTACAATAATCTGTGGATTCTTGGTACCCAGCAGAAAGCTGCAGCCACTTTATCCGGGGCTTTCTAATCTTTTGGCTTCAGTTCAGAATTCTGACCTCATGCGGCTCTAGAGATAAATGAGCAGGTGCTTGAGAAACACTTGGAACCTTGGAGAGCAGAGTCCTTAGATTTGATTTAGGATTAGTTAGGATCTTTCCGATAGAAATCAAAAATCCCACAGAAAAACATCCACACCACATGATTGTGCAGCCGTGTCTGACTGTAGCTATGTTATGAAAGAGATTATCTTTGGTGTGTGAACTGTGGTTCAGTCATGTTTTTCCTTCTCATAATCTTTGGTCTAACCTTTTGACTCATGCATATTTTTTTCATCCCAGTGACCATTGAAATTATAGTTGGAGACGTATTCATTTAGATATGAAGACAGGAGTTCCAAAATAACTGAGTGGTGAGATCTTGTTTCTCAGTGAAAGCTATTAGACCAAGTGGACTTCAGATATATCCTAAGGAGCATAGATATTTTTATCACCCCAAAAACTTACCTTTGCATTGCTATTGTGGTCTACTTATGAAAATTAATGAAAAATAATTAATAATACCAGGGCCTCACAAAAAGAAGCAAGCAACTGGGGATGCTGAAGATCTGAAAGAGGAAGAGCGTTTTTCCCAGGTGGACCAAAGAGTGGAGAGAATAAAGCAAACACAAAGGGAAATGTAACATCATCTTATATCTGAGTTGGGATTGTGGAGGGGCAGGAACCATCACTGCTGGTATAAACACACAGTCTCACATCCACACCTACAACCTGTTTAGAATCACCAGTTAAACCAAGAAGAACATCAGTGAGGAGGAGAGAGCCGGAGTACTCAGGAGGAAACCTGACATATAACAGTGCAAACAAATAATTAGCTCACTGTTTGTGCATGCTCTCTTTCAATATACCTGCCTATATCAAAAATGTTGATCAGTTTGAAACAAAGGCTGGCTCTGTAGCAATCGTCAGATGCAGATAACCCAGTAATGTGGGGAATTCTCTGCATGAGACAAGCAACCTTGTGAAATGTATTTTCCTCGTTCTTTGACCATATAGGCATCAGATAACATACCTCATAAGTCAAAGCTGGACTTGACTTCTGTTCAGTTTGCTTAGGACGAGTAACCAGAGGAGACGTGAGTTTTCCAACTACAGCAGAAAGATCACCGGGGACTCTGGAGTGCTGCTAAACCTGCTGCTAGTTCATTGCCATGGAAGCGAATTTTAAAAACCCCCCAAATGTGAAGCGCACTATTTCTTTTTTACAGCCACCTGCCGGTTTGCTTCGATTCCAGGGCAAACTGGCTGCACAATCTGAGTCTGAAAAGGAACTCACCTGTTCGATCTGCCATGAAATCTTCAGAGATCCGGTCATCCTCTCATGCAGCCACAGCTTCTGCAAAGAATGTCTGCAGTTGTGGTGGAAGGAGAAGGACACCCAAACCTGCCCACTCTGCATGAAGATACCCTCATCAACTGACCCACCTGTTAGTTTAGTGCTAAGGAACCTGTGTAAGACTGCTGTAGAGGAGAGAGCTGAGAGAGCAGAGACACCACTAGCAGCATCTGAAGCTCTCTGCAATCTGCACGCTGAGAAACTCAAACTCTTCTGTTTGGACCACGAGGAGCCCGTGTGTCTCGTATGTCGAGACTCAAAAGCACACAACAACCACAGATTCAGACCCATCGAAGAAGCTGCACAGGATCAAAGAGTGAAGCTCCAGATGTTTCTCAAGTGTTTACAAGATAAACTGAAGCTCTTTGAATATGTGAAAGCGAACAGTGACCTCACTGTAGAACACAACGTAGTGCAGACTCGGTACATAGAGAGCCAGATTAAGGAGCAGTTTAAGAAGCTTCATCACTTTCTGTTTGAGGAGGAAGAGGCAAGGATCACCGCTCTGAAGACAGAAGAGCAGCAGAAGAGTCGGATGATGCAGGAGAAGATTGAGGCTCTGACCAAAAAGATAGCAGCTCTTTCTGAAACCATCAGTGCCACACAGGAGGAACTGAGAGCTGATGACTCTTTGTTTCTCTATAACTACAAGGCTGCAGCAGAAAGAGTCCAGCAGCGACCCCTGCTGGAGGATCCTGAGGTGGTCTCTGGAGCTCTGATCGATGTGGCCAAACACCTGGGCAACCTGGCCTACAACATCTGGAACAAAATGAAGGAGACAGTTTCCTACACTCCTGTGATTCTGAATCCAAACACCGCTGAAGGACACCTCATCATCTCTTCAGATCTTACTAGTGTGAGACAAGGAAACAAACAGAAGCTTCCTGAAAACCCAGAAAGGTTTGACAGCTATTCGATCATCATGGGCTCTGAGGGCTACGACTCGGGGAGTCACAGCTGGGACGTTGAGGTTAGAAATGATGGAGTCTGGTGTCTCGGTGTGCTACAGGAGTCAGTTAAGAGAAAGGGACAATTAAAGACTGGATTCTGGGAATTAAGTCGCCACGATGGGAAATACACAGCAGTTGCTCCACCACTTTCACGCAAAGTCCTCGCAGTGAAGACGCTCCAGAGGATCAGAGTTCGCCTGCACTGCGACAAAGGGAAGCTCTCATTCTTTGATATTGATACCAACACACTCATACACACCTTCAAACTCACTATCACTGAGAAGTTGTTTCCTTACATTGAGACCAAGACTCTTCCGCTGACCATACTACCATCAGCCATCTGTGTAACACTGGAAGAGCAGCCACGTTTAAAGGGATCTAAAGAGTATATGGTCCATATCCAGTGTAGTTAAGCATGTTTAGATGCTGGTCGAAGAAGTCTGCTTAGAAATAATCATAGACTTGTAATCAAACATTTCTATCATATGAAAGAAATGTGGGTGTCAGTATCAGAATCACATCCACAGATAGCCAGTAACAGGTGTGTCCAACAAGGAAATGCATGGCATTGGTGATGGATACTCCCATGGTACCCATCACCATCAGATACGAACAATGACAGGAACAATGGTGGAATATAACTTATCTGCATACTTCAGAATTAATAGTAAAGCACAGAAATATCTCTGTTATGCAACTTTGTTACTTCACTCCACTTGTAGATGGAAAAATATATATTCCATTTATTTTTAGCTTTATTATGCTAGAAATTTTAAATGGCAAAGGCATAATAAATATTATGCTATATTCCAAGACCCTGCAGTATATTAATAATAAAAATAATATCTAGCTGCAACATTAAAGTGAATAAGTGACATTAAAATCTTTATGGCATTTTTTTTTTACATGGTTTCCAGTGTTTGTGTGTAAAAGTTTAGCTATGAACAGAACGCCACCACTGAGACTCCTGCTGTGATTAACGTGTCCTGGTCTGTGTTCCTGTTCAGGGTCGTTGTTCAAATGTTGCACTACCAGTATATGTGTGGTGTACTGGGGACAAAACTCATATCTCAGTATCTTTACACAAAAATATAAATATGTTCTGACCAAATACTATTAAAATTTTAAAAAGCAGTTCTTTCACCTTGGTCTAAAATATTATGTTGTTAAATGCTACTTTTTTAAAACTTAAAGTTTAAGCCAAAATCACTGGAACAGTGTCTGGTTTAAATGCAAAACTCACAGTTTTATGTTCATTTAACTTCATGTCAGTCACGATGGATCAGTCTCTGAGCTTTGCTGACTGTGACCAGGCCGGCACGCTGATTCATAAAAGAGTTTTCTCCTGCTGAATTTGTTGTAAAACGGTTAAATCTTCTTTATATTCATTTTTGTTCACTTAATTGTCAAATGTGACACCAAAATTATATAGCAAAGGGGAAAAACAAGTTTTTTGTGGTTTTATCAAACTGGTAAGTATTTAAATAGATTTTTACTAAACCGCTGAAGTGGTTCCAATATTTTAATATTTCATGTTTGAAAAAAACAACAAACAAGCAAAAAAACATTCACATTTTGCCTCCAACAGTCCTTTAATTTATTTGAATATGATAAATTATCTCAGTATTTTGCAAGTTTAAGTAATTAAATCTATGAAAGTGAATGTTTCTGGGCTTCCCTGGTTACTTTTATTTTTTTGTATGTTTCCTGTTTTAGTTTGACAGTGCATCGCCTTGTCTTGTTACTTAGATTGTCTTCACCTGTCTCTCCTTCCCCACCTGTTTCACCGGGACTTGCTTTATTTTTGTATTAAGTTTGTAAGTTTAATAAAACTGCTTTTACTTTACCCCTCATGTTTTTGAGTCCTCAGTTTGGGTCCTGCCTGCTACATAGTGACCTATGTGGCAATCTGAGCTAAAACATCTGGAACAAGATGAAGGAGGTGGGCTCCTGCACTCCTGTGATTCTTCATCCAAACTCTATTCATCTACACCTGAAGATCAAAACACGCGATCATCGAAAAACTGTTTTCATGTATTTGCACAAAGAAAGAACCACGGATGATATTACCAGTGACTGTGAGAGTGGAACAGCATGTGGACCCTTTATCCACATGTTTCATCTCCTGTTGTTTTGGTCCGTACCTGAGTGTGATTACTGTGTTCACACTGCACAAACAAACCACACCAAGGGGGAAAACAAATCAGAGTTCAATTTAAACCAACTAAACACTGCAGGTGTGAAAACACCCTTAACCCTTTACTGCATGAATTATGACAACCTCAGGCAGGAATGTTAAGTATTTTTATTCATCTTTAGGCAAGAAAAAAAGATTTGTGAACTTCATTTTTTAAAAATGTACTTTTCAAAGAGTCTTTTGAAAGTACATGTTTGCCACCCACTGGTGGCAGGGCATGGTGTGACACATCAGTGTCCAATGTAGTGGTTTATGTGCAACTATACCATCAACACTGACACAAATACAAGAAAACAGCCTTTGAATAGCTGTGACTGACCACTCTGCATGAAAGGGTTAATCCAGAGTCAGCACATTATCAGACTGCACAGATGTAATAAATATGGGAATTAAAGGAAAGAACATTTTTAACTTGCAATTAGAAAATTCAATTAGAAATTGGCTGTGTTCAGACTGACAGATGATTCATGAAGAAGTTTGTCCAGCTCAATTCTACATGACATTTAAAAGGGGACACAGAAGTGTTTTTTTGTAATACTAGTGGGTTCAAGTAATTTAATATTTAAAATCTGGAAAACCTCATTCACAAATTACCTCCATAACATTAAATTTATTTAAACTGCAATTAATTTGTTTTTATTTTTATCCCTGAAGTAAAAAAAAAGCTGTAAAAATGTATTAGGTTTTGAGCTTAATTATTTTATCTACTTTTGCTATTAGATTTTTCATAATCTTCACAGATCACTATTGTCCCATTCACTTGATAATATTTTTGACTGAAGTAGGTGGTTCTCTGGTGCTCAGCTGTTCAGTGATGTTTCAAACACCCTTCTTTGTGTGAGTTCGTTGTTTCTAATCAAGATTTTAGGTTTTGTTGAACCAGCTCACACAAAGAAAACGTGTTTATCTTAAACCTGATTCACAGTACACCTCTATGAGTACACTTTCTGCTAGATTGTCATAATCTAAATCCTCTGAAGCCACATCAGTGTTCACTTTCTTGCCTTTGTATTGTGCTTTGATGTTGTGGGGAGAGCTGGGAGTCTGTCAAAGGAAGTGATTATTGGACTGCACTTCTGAGTCATTATTACTCAACTTTCACCCATAAGTAACCACAGGCATCACATCGGTTAGATTTTGGCAAAAAAAATAACCTCCCTTACATGGGAGTTTCCTCACAGGCTGTTAGAGGCAACAACAGAATCAGGGAAGCTCTCATTTTATATGATATGTTAGAATCTGTAGTAAAATCCTTAATAACACAAGAAAATGGGTCTTTTTAATCACAATGTTATTCCGAATGAATTGCTGAAGTGGAACATCTTTGAATGGCAGAAATGTACACATATAGGGAAATGTTACTTGCTATTTGTCTTCCTCTTTCGATGTGGACATAAATCACATGACAGCTTCATTTTGTCACCAATGCGTTAAAACTGACCATCAGCAGCAGACACAGCCAGAGGAATTACAGCTGCTGGGGGAAGAAAGCCGGGAACACTGAAACGGAGGAAGGCCGGGGTACATCTGAACCTGCTGCTCAGGAAGTAAGTTTCAGGAAGCTTCCTCATTATACAATGCAAATCTAAACACTCTGAATAGATCGCTGTCACTGTAGTTCTAAATATTTAACTTTTACCTTTGATTAAAAAAAGAAATTGCTTGACTTGAACTTTTTTGCAGATTTGTGTGCTGCAGTTAAAAGTTTTATGTTTTCATTAAATAAATATTTCTCTTTTTGTGCATCTACTTTAATGTTCTCTTGTTCATTAATAGTGTAGCAACCAAAAGTAATGTGTTAAGGAAATTCTGAGCTTGCAGTTGCAATTTATGGACACTGAGTGAAATGGTCTACAGTACTGTCTCTTTACTCAGTACCATCCTGTGTCTGGTGTGCTTAGGTTAACTATGAAGCAAGATTAATGGGTTAGCCGGCTCTACTGAGCCAGAGATTTTAGTGTTGATTTATAAATAAATAATAAATAAATAAAATTTTATTTATATAGCACCTTTCAGAATCACAAAGTGCTGCACATAAGATGACAAATAATAAAAAGGTAAAACAGACAATTTAACCAAAAACAGTTTAAAAAAGGTGAGTTTTGAGTTGTTTTTTAAAAACAACTACCGAGTCCACAGTTCTTAATGTATGAGGGAGAAATTCCACAGTCTGAGGGCCAAAGGTGGCAAAAGCTCTGTCACCCTTAATTCTCATATTAGTCTGTTTTATAGCAAGTAAGCCCTGATCAGATGACCTCAGGGATCTGCTAGGGACATAGGGCTGTAGCAGATCGTAGATGTAGGGCGGCGCCAGTCCATGCAAGGCTCTAAATGTCAAGACCAGCATCTTAAAATGGACTCTAAATTCAACAGGAAGCCAGTGTAGTTGAAATAGCAGTGGTGTCACATGTGAGTACTTGGAGGATTTTGTCAACAGCCTATAGCTGCTGCGTTTTGCACAACCTGCAGACGAGAGAACCTTTGCTTAGACACATAAACAAAGAGTTACAATAGTCCAAGCATGAGGAAATAAATGCATGTATATCTATCTCCAGTTCAGGGCGAGATAAAATAGGGCTTAACTTAGCCACATTTCTTAAATGATAAAAACAAGACTTTTCACATGCCCATCCAATGTGAGAGTCGAGTCAAAAGTGAAACTTAAATTCCTGATAGAGGATTTAACAGACACTGAAAGAGGACCAAGGGCTTTCACTATCTGGGATAAAAATGTATTAGATTTGCCTGGTTAGATCACCAAATGGTTTAAAATTGTTGGGAAGTAGCACATCTTCACTGATTCCAGTATGCTGTGTGATAAAGAGTCTCTGCTGAAGGAATATGACATTTTTAAGCAGGACCTAACATCAGTAAATTAATTTGAGGCAGATCTAATTGTGCGTTGCATTGAATACATCATCTGGATGGGAGCATTTGTTCGATATGCCTTTCTGCAGATGGGGCCTTTCCAGATTTGCAAGTCCATAGGCACTAATGCACCCCCATAGATTCAGAAAGCATTGATTACAAGCTGGATGGTCTCTCTCCTTGTCAGTCCAGAAGATGCAGTGCTTTTCTGAATCATAATCAGTTATGGCTGCTTTGACTGAACTTTAACTTGCGTTTGCAGATGGCACAGCAAACTGTGCTCGCAGACAATGATTTCTGGGAGTGTTCCTGAGTCCATGCAGTGATCTCCACGACACAATCGTTCCTGTTTTTAATGCAATGCTGCCTGAGGGCAGGAGATTTTTTAAGTCCTGCCAACTTTTGGGATTCGCATTTAAACCGAGTTCTTTTTTCTATCTTCTTTTTTTGTAGGCAAAATGACTGAAAAAGATCTCTCCTGTCCTATCTGCTACGACATCTACAGAGACCCTGTCGTCCTCTCATGCAGCCACAGCTTTTGTAAAGACTGTCTGCAGCTGTGGTGGAGAGAGATAAAAATAAAATCCTGCCCAATATGCAAGACGATTCCTTTACTGAACGATCCGCCCTGTAACTTGGTGTTAAAGAACCTCTGTGAGGCCTTCTTAATGAAGAGAGTTCAAAAACCTTCACAGTCGGAGTCTCTCTGCAGTCTGCACCATGAGAAACTCAAACTCTTCTGCCTGCACGATCAACAGCCAGCATGTCTCATCTGTCGAGATTCAAAGGTGCACAACAGTCACGGATTCAGACCCATTGATGAAGCAGCACAGGATTACAGGAAGGAGCTCCAGGAATTATTGAAGCCCTTACAGAAGAAACTGGAACTATTTGAACAGGTTAAAGAAAATTACAGTCAGACAGCACTCCAAAGTAAGATCCAGGCCTTTTACACAGAATGGCAGATTAAAAAGCAGTTTAAGAAACTTCACACGTTTCTAAAAAAGGAAGAGGAGGCCAGGCTGGCTGCTCTGCGGGCCGAGAAGAAGCAGAAATGCAAGATAATAAAGGAAAAGATTGGGGCCCTGAGCAGAGAGATAGAAACTCTTTCAGAAACAATCAGAGCCACACAGGAGGAACTGAGAGCTGAAGATGTCTCATTTCTGCACAACTACAATGCTGCACTGAAAAGAATCCAGCAGCGCCCCCTGCTGGAGGATCCACAGCTGGTTTCTGGAGCTCTGATAGATGTGGCCAAACACCTGGGCAACCTGACCTACAACATCTGGAACAGAATGGGGGAGATGGTCTCCTACACTCCGGTGATTCTGGATCCAAACTCAGCTCATCCACAACTCATCCTGTCTGAAGATCTGACCAGTGTGAGTGTGGGACTGAGAAAGCAGCTTCCTGACAACCCAGAGAGGATAGAAAACTATTTTGTCATCCTGGGCTCTGAGGGCTTCGACTCGGGGATTAACAGCTGGGACGTTGAGGTTAGAAATGATGGAGTCTGGTGTCTCGGTGTACTAAAGGAGTCTGTTCAAAGAAAGGGACATATACACACTGGATACTGGGAACTCTGTCACCAGGATGGAAAATACACAGCATCCGCTCCACCGCTTCCAGATAAAGTTCTCTCAGTGAAGAAGCTCCAAAGACTCCGAGTTCAGCTGGACTGGGACAGGAGGAAGCTCTCGTTTTTTGATCTGGACACCAACTCACACATACACACCTTCAAACACACTTTCACTGAGAAGCTTTTTCCATACATTGGCACCAAGACTCTGCCGGTGAAAATATTACCAGTGATGGTCAGTGTAGAAAAACACAGGGTTCCATTATCAGTGAAGTTTTCGCCTCTTTCTAAACTCGGTCTGATTTAATCAAAGCAACTGAGAAATAAACGTTCTTATAATGAAACAAAGCAATCTTGTACTCAGTCTCCTGGAAGTCTCCAGTGTTACTGTAATAATTTGTATTATCACAAAGTCTTTACTTTACAATGTTTCTGAGGTGACTGTGTTTGTGATTTGGTGCTGTATAAATAAAAATTTAATTGAATGTTTTTCTTTGAAGAGAGATGTTTGTGTATCTATCAGACGTTCAGAGCTGCAGTTCTGCTTAAGTTCTTATTACTTTCAACATCCAACAGATCAGGTCATCTAGGGCAAAAATAGACACACACACAAAAAAGACGAAAAAAGTGAATTAGAGCACATGAATAAGCTCTTCTTAATTCTCTCCAGCAGGGAGAAAGTATGTAAACTCCTAGGCCGATAAACATGAAAGTCACCAAGGGGAAATCAACAAACTGCCGCATTTGATTCCCAAAGAGCTATGAGCTGAAAATGTGATATGTCTTAGCATGGTGTGCCGTGTATCCTTTAAAAAAAAGACAACATGAGGTCCTCGGGCTGTACAAACTGTACAACCCGAGGACAAAACAAGCCAAAGACCAAAGACTCCATCTCCAGATTAACCGGACATGAAAGTCTTGTTATTAAGAAAGACAAAGTAATATAGCAAAAACCAGACATAGGAAATGTGAAGCACACCCAGCAGATCAATTAATCCCTTTATTGTTCACTTTAGGCTAACAAAACTACAATAAACTGTAAAACTTACCAAATATGCATCTGCACAGCGCTGTCTCTTTAAATGCCCTTTTTTGCTCTGTCTGGTCCTTGGATTTTTTTCCCTGCCCAGTTGAGTACCGAGGCCAGGTCGTTTGGCGGTGCGGCGGACTCACACCTCCAGTGTGGTCCCTCCAATCAAGGCAAAGCGTCTCACCTATAGACACATTTTAAGAGATGGAATTAGTATGTCTCATGTCTTAAATGTGTACGCAAGTGCTTGTGTGTTTAATCAACAGGCCGTTTTATGTATTTTAATCACATCTGACAGCTATTACACTACAATAGTTACAAAGTGAACATAACCTTTATATACTTACCATTGCCTTATTTGCCTCTTGTGATTGAAGAGCTGGCTCTGCATTGTTTAGCTCCTCCATGTTGTGCAAGGGCAAATCCAGAGGCAGTACCCCAGCATCTACCGATTCATTGCAGCAGGGATGGCGCTTGGCTATGACCTCCTCACGGAGTTTGTTAACTGCTCTGGTCAGGTCTGACAGCATCGTTAACATCTTTTGTGAGGTCACATCTGTTTAAAAAAACAATTCCAGAAAGATTAATGGCTTAAGCAGTGAGAGGAGAAAAACTAATATATCCATAAGTGATGGTGTAACATTCTGCATTCAAGTATAAGTTGTTGTAACTGCTAAAAGTGTTTACTAGTTTTTTCCTGTCACATATATTTGATATTTGTATATGTAGCTTGCCATCACCAGTGTGTGAATGTGTGTGTGAATGGGTGGATGACTGAATGTGTAAAGTGCTTTGGGGTTCTTAGAGACTAGTAAGTGTTATACAAATACAGGCCATTTACCATTTATACCATGTAAACTCTGAAATTCCAAGATTTTCAAACTTGCCTTGTAATAGTGGCCTCACAGAGTCTCTGGAATCTACAGAAAAAATAAATCACAAAAAGATGACATTCAGGAGTATAAACTGGTGTTCTGAAGATAAGAGCACAATGACATTGTGATGCAGCTTTAAAACTATTTTAAAAGCATACCCTTTATAGGGAAGACATCGACATCAGACTCTGCAGGCTGGGGAGATCGCAAAGCTGTGTTGGCGAAAGGTGCCGCAAGCTGGGCGTGGCATTATGATGGTTGCTATCAGTGGGCTGGGGGGCAGACCGCGGAGTGGTGAGGGCTGTTTAGAAATTTATTTAAGAATGCAGACAACATATTCAAATTTTCACTCAAGGCACCTGGGGAAACCGTTTTTTGTAGGCTGCTCATCCTCTGAGTCAGTATATGTGTACAGGGGATTTGGTCTGAAGAAAAGAAGTTAAAAACGGTCATAAGTAATTGTAAATGTGCTTTTGGCATATTTTTTCCTAAAGTTACAGTTTGATTTCTAACAACACACACAGGAAACAGAGACGTGCAAGAAGGTACAGTATAGAGATTGACAGACCACGTGACTTTCGTGCATTGCATGCCGGGAACTCGTGGCAAAACAATCCAAGTACCTGCATCAAATGCAAGCATTTGCAGCACTGCAAAACGTTCATTCTCCGGTTCCAAAACCTTCTTGCTTTTTCTTTGCCCCCCAAAAAGTTATGTACAAAACGAAGGAGAACAATGCCGGTCCGTACAAAGACAGACTCGACGAAAAGGCAAAGAAAAGACACGAGGAAAAAATCAAAGGAGTGAAAGGGTCAGACCCTTACCAGCACACAGAGTGGACAAAATACGTTAGCGTGCTGCCCAACTTTCACCACGCTCAGATTTATAATTATATGGTTCTTGGAGTGAGTGCATACACTCATGGAGTTTAGTAACTTCAGGTCACTGCAACAAGCCCAGGTAGAGTTTACCGACGGATGGGTACAGGACCATTTCAATTGAATTGGTACTGATTTCAATTGAAAGCCTGTGTGCGCTAGTACCTCTTGCCACGAGTTCCCAGAATCCTTTGTGGTTTTGCCCCTGAATGATGTCACATTCTCAATCTCTATTTTCTTGATGTGAGCTTCTACTTGGGGTTTTTTCTTCCAGTTCAGAGCAGAATTTCTTTAGTTAAGATACTGGATGTTGTGTTTTTCTCCACAAATTTAATTATAAGCTAGATACATTGCTGCTAACAGCAACAGGGATGAGTCAGTGAGTCAGTTGGGCTTGTGAATCATGATTCATGAGTCAGTAAAGTGATTCTCGAGTATTGAACGATTCGTTCATGATTCACGCATCACTAGTCTAAAGTTTTCGTGTGCGAATAGACTATGATTGTGTCCCAATTCAGGGTCTGCACGCTAGGTTTCTTTGAAAAATACTTTTTTATATCCAGGTTCTTCCTTTTTTCTGTCATCCTCCTCTCCTCCTCGCAGCGCAGGCTTGCCACTGCTAAAACTAAACAGAGCTCCCTGAAAGGCACAGCCAATCACATTGGCCATATTTTTGTCACATGCGTAGGACTCCAGTAGAGAACGTAATTTAACTCTTTCTGCACCGCTGGGTGAATGAGACGTTGACAGATCGTTTTTTTTCTTTCTATCGTGTTTGTTTTTCTTTACTCGAAGAGATCAAATTATTGGTGGAGACAATTCAATAATCGCTGGATATTGGTGGGGACATGTCCCTTCCGTCCATGCCAAATCTACGCCCTTGTCTTAACCCAACTGAGCATTTCACTTGTTGAAGACTAAACCTTTGAGGCAAAAAGGCCTACAAACAAACAGCAACTGACAGCTGCTGCAGTAAAGGCCTGGCAGAGCATTAGAAAGGAGGAAACCAAGCATCTGGTGATTTCCATGAATTCAAGACTTCAGGCTGCCATTGCCAGTGAAGGCATGTTAGCCTGTGTGTATTCTTTGCTTGCACCCTTTGTAACAGGAGACTTCTTCTGTTTGTCAGGCTACATTGCTGAATGAAATGCTTCATGTTAACATATTCTGTGCTCATGTAATCCTTCAGATGTTGACATATCAGTTACCTTTTATTACTCAGTGTTCTAATGGCATCCTGTGACTTTGGTAGATAACTTTACCAAAAACATGCAAAGTGTTGCCATAATCTGTACTGTTCTTTGAACCTCTTACAAAATTAAATTAAAGTAATAAAGACAACCTGGTTTCATGCACCACCATTTATTTAACATTTCTACAACACCTCTCTCCACCCCATATAGAAATGAATCACACACCCTTTTAAGTATGCATCTTCCTCATTCATTGCTCATACTGGTGTCAAATTACATTCACCGTGACACTTTCACTTTCTGGACTATATATTTAGATTCTTTGTTAGAAAAGAGAAGAAGTTCAACGACAGAAGGATACGGGGAACACTGAAATACAGGGAATATCAGGATACTGACACTTCAACACGATGCTGCTGATTCCATGTTACAAACAGAAGTTTTACAGAAGGGAAAGTAAGTTTGAAGAAACTTCTTGAGTGGACGCCTCATTGTTTTCATTGTTGTTACTCAAGGACAAAATGTCTTCTCAGTCGGAAAATGATCTTTCCTGTCCCGTCTGCCACGACATCTATAGCGATCCTGTCATCCTGTCATGCAGCCACAGCTTCTGTCGATTCTGTTTGCAGACGTGGTGGAGCAAGAATCTAAAACACAACTGCCCACTGTGTAAGAAGATAAACCTGTCAAATGATCCGCCCCGTAACTTGGCGTTAAAGAACCTGTGTGAGGCTTTCTTACTGCAGAGAGATAAAAAACCTTCTGCAGGTCTGAGCCTCTCTGCAGTCTGCACAATGAGAAACTCAAACTTTTCTGTTTGGATCATCAGCAGCCGGTGTGTGTCGTCTGTCGAGATTCAAAAGCACACAAAGACCACAGATTCAACCCAACTGAAGAAGCCGCCCAGGATCACAGAGAGGAGCTTCAGAAACACCTGAAGCCCTTACAAGATAAACTGAAGGTGTTTGAACAAGTCAAAGGAAACTTTGATCAAACAGCAGAACATATAAAGGTCCAGGCACAGCAGACGGAGAAGCAGATAAAGGAGGAGTTTAAAAAGCTTCAGCAGTTTCTACAAAAGGAAGAGAAGGCCAGGCTGGCTGCTCTGAGGCAGGAAGAAGAGCAGAAGTTAAGAAAAATGGAGGAGAAGATTAAGTCTCTGAGTAGAGAGATAAAAACTCTTTCAGAAACAATCAGAGCCACAGAGGAGCAACTGAGAGCTGAAGACGTCTCATTCCTCCACAACTACAAGCTTTCAGTGATCAGAGTCAAGCAGCGCCCCCTGATGGGTGCTCCACAGCTGGACTCAGGAGCTCTGATAGATGTGGCCAAACACCTGGGCAACCTGACCTACAACATCTGGAACAAGATGAAAAAGAAGGTCTCCTACACTCCTGTGATTCTGGATCCAAACACAGCTCATCCACAACTCATCCTAGCTGACGATCTGACCAGTGTGACATTTGGATGGAGACAGAAGGTTCCTGATAATCCAGAGAGGTGTCACTA